TATATATATACAGTTAAATTAATTGAAGGAGAGCTTGGAACTTCTTTATCTATTCTTGACAGCTAAAGGAATCATAGATATAAGAAGCACAGAAGGAAGAAAAGAAAAAAATATGCCCAAGGAAAGTCTCCAACAGCTAGAAACATGTGGAGTGCTTTTGAGAAATTATGTCACAAACCATCATCAAGCGTCATGCTGATGCATAGCCTGCCGTTGCGAGGCGGAAACGGGCTGCGTGTAAATTGCGACGGAAACCGGTGTTTTTTTTGCGACGGTAGGCCGAAATGTTTTTCAAAAGTGATCGTGGAGTTCGTTGCGCGATCAAAAGTTCAAGGAGTGTTTTTTGCGACGACGTGTTTTTTGCAACGATTATCTTTTTGCCACGGTGTTATTGTTTTGGTTGGACAAGCCACCAAGGAGTGGGAAACACGGAGTGTTTGGTGCGACGGTGTGTTTTTTGCGACGGTGTGTTTTTTGCGACGGTGTGCTTTTTGCGAAGGTGTGTGTTTCAGCGACGCGGTGTTTGTTGCAAATATATGGTCGTGTATTTTGCTACGGGTACGGGTGTTGTTAGCTTCGGTGGCAGGGTGTTTTTTGCGACACTGTGTTTTTTGCGCAGGTCAGTGGGTTTTTTTTGCGTCGATCAAAAGTGTTTCTTGCACAGTGAAAGTGTGTTTTTGCGTCGCAGAGGGTTTTTTGCGACAGAGAGCAGGGTTTATAGCAACATCGGCTTGGACTCATTGCGCGACTGTGGTGGATAAGAATGGCAAGGTGTTTTTTGCGCCGGTCCTAGCTTCAAGGTGTTTGTTGCACCGATCCTAGCTTCAAGGTGTTTTTTGCGCCGGTCCTAGCTCCAGGGCGTTTTTTGCGACAGTGTGTTTTTTGCACCTCCAAAGTGTTTTTTGCGCCCATCCTAGCTTTAGGTGTTTTTTGCGCCGGTCCTAGCTCCAAGGTGTTTTTTGCGCCGGTCCTAGCTTTAGGTGATTTTTGCGCCGGTCCTACCTCCAAGGTGTTTTTTGCGCCGGTCCTAGCTGCAAGGTGTTTTTTGCGCCGGTCCTAGCTTCAAGGTGTTTTTTGCACCGATCCTAGCTGCAAGGTGTCTTTTGCGCCGATCCTAGCTGCAAGGTGTCTTTGAGCCTTTCCTTTGGGACCGCCACTTTTAAGGTTGCAACCAACCTCTCCAATGTTTCATGTCAACTGTCAGCTGGCGTATGTGCCCCTCTCCCGCTTTTGAAGCTAGGATCGGTGCAAAAAACACCTTGAAGCTAGGGCCGGCGCAAAAAACACCTAAAGCCAAAACTGAGCGGCGCGCAGAGGTTACACCCCGCCTGTCCAATGTTTCATGTCAGCTGGCGGAGCTCGCTTCGCTCCGCGTGGGTGGACACGAAGACAAAAAGGTTTGACAAAGGCTCGTGTCAAAACTGAGCGGAGCGCAGCGCAGCAGAAAGGTGGCTTTGAGACGGAATAACCACGGTGCAAACTTTCGGTCGCAGACGTGCGCTCCTAGGTTTTGCTGGAGAGCTCCGCTCTGCGGCGGGGGAGGCGCTGCGCCCACGCCCGCACCCCCTCCCGCTGCTTTAAAGGCTCACCCCCTGCATGCGCTGCCGCTCGCTTCACGCACAAAGCCTTGTCGTCGCTTTGCTTTGCTGGGGCTTTCAAGGTTGCAACCAACCTCTCCAATGTTCCATGCCAACTGTCAGCTGGCGTATGTGCCCCTCTCCCGCTTTTTAAAGGCCCACCCCCTGCATGCGCCATTGGCTTTTGGTTGCGCGCAAAGGCCTGCGTCGACTCTCTGCGCAGAGCAAAAAAATATAAGACCGGCGGAAAAAGGACCTCGAAAAGAAGACCGGCGTTCAAAAAAAGAGCTCAAAACTATAGGACCGGTGCAAAAAGGACCTCGAAAATATGACCGTCGCAAAAACACCTCGAAACTATAATAGGACCGGCGCAAAAAAACACATTGAAGCTAGGACCGGCGCAAAAAGCACCTTGAAGCTAGGACGGGCGCAAAAAACACCGTGGAGCTATAGGACCGCAAAACACACCTTGAAGCTAGGACCGGCACAAAAAACACCTAAAGCTAGGACGGGCGCATAGGACCGGCGCAAAAAACACCTTGAAGCTAGGATCGGTGCAAAAAACACCTTGAAGCTAGGACCGGCACAAAAACACCTAAAGCTAGGACGGGCGCAAAAAAACACTTTGGAGGTGCAAAAAACACACTGTCGCAAAAATTGCCCTGGAGCTCGGACCGGCGCAAAAAACACCTTGAAGCTAGGATGGGTGCAAAAAGCACCTTGAAGCTAGGACCGGCGCAAAAAACATCTTGAAGCTAGGACCGGCGCAAAAAACATCTTGAAGCTAGGACCGGCGCAAAAAACACACTGTCGCAAAAAACAGTAGACAAGTAGGAATAACACTACTGTTTGGAGTTACACTGGTTTCCGTCGCAATTAACACACGTCCCCGGGCTCACGTCCAAAGACTTCCAAGAAGCCCACCAACATCACCGCACTCATTGCTGCAATGCTGCGGAACCTGCTCCGGAACCTGGTCCGGAACCTGCTCCCGAACCGGCTCCGGAACCTGCTCCGGAACCTCCGCCGGAACCCTCTGGAACCTGCTCCGGAACTAGATAGCTTAACATAAATACTGGAAAAACAACCGATGAAGCTTCCATGCATGGGCCCTACGGTCACACGGTCGCTGGTAAGACGAGGGGGAACAGAAGAAGATGGAAGAATGTTCATTTCACACCGTCCTGCTTTTGCTTCGCTGTCCGCTTTGCTTTCACTTGTCTGGGCTTGAGCGAGTGAGCGATATAGTAGTGGTAGCGTTGATGCTGTCGTGGGTGTTGCCTACAGGCAAGGTCACCATGTAGCCTATCCAGCACCAGTTGATGAGTTTGGGCGCGTGACTTGACCAAACGCCTCCCGGCACTGTGTCTGGTTTCGACGAGAGTTATCAGTGTTGCCTGCAAAATGCACTCGTCGCACATGAAGCTGTCAACTGGTGGATACGCTTCAAAAAATGCCGCGGCGAACTCATCCAGGAGACATTGAACATCATGAGCCGCTTGGTGGATCTCTTGCGCTGATTCTCTTGTTGAGGCAAAAGCCTTGCGGGAAAGCCTCTGTGACCCATCTCAGCGTGGCGCATTGCTGTGCCACTTCTGGAAAGAAGCTTGAATGCCAATGCGTTCATTGACCTTGTCATACTCTGGTCCTCAATCGCAGGTGCCTCGAAGTGTAGCCGTGTAGGCTATTATGGAATTGACACACCCCATTGCAATCTCGTCCAGCCCAGGGGCCAGTCCAAACCAAGAAAACCAACAACACACAAAGGTCGCGTGCTTGGGCGATGTTGGATTCATTTTTGCGCAACGCAAGTAATAAACATCGTAAATTACATGTATTTTGGCAATTTTAAATGAAAATGTGATTCCTACCAACATGCTCATGCGTAAATACCAGTGGTTTGGGCAGCAAACATGTAAGAAACATGGTTTTTAAAAAACGCGTCTGCTTGCTCCCAATGCAAAAGGAAACATCGACATGTACCGTGTGTTTGGTCCCTGGTAAATACCGTGTTTGTTGGAATGCTTCAAAAATGGTGTTCTTGGCACGCAACACGACAACAGCAACGACCAACAACAACAACAACAACAACCTTATGGCATCGCTGGCATGCGAAGCCAGCTCTACAATCTACTGTATAACTATTTATACATGCTTTCGTCGACCGAGTTTGTAATTCTAGTGACAGGCGTTGACCCTTTCAGGTCTGCGAAAGAAAGAAAGAAAGAAAGAAAGAAAAATGTCGTTATGTATATAATTTAGATATGTTATGATATGTTAATATCTACAGGATTACCTACCTCAACAGTGCTACAGCGCCTGCTGGTGGCTCCATCACCATCACGTCTCCGTTCCTTCGCGTTGCCGAGGCGCGCCCGGGCTCCGCGGAGTCATGGCGCTCTTCGGAGTCATCACGCTGCGTGGACTCGCCAAGCCACTCAGCGCCAGGTGAGAGGGCACCTGACCACACGGACTCCGCTCGTGCCGGAAGAAACATCCACCCGCAGTGGGGTAGCTAGGAGCGATGCGAAGAGTAGCTAGTAGCGATGCGTGTTTTTTGGGGGGACACGTCATGTAGGCGGTTGATTCATTCAACCCCTCCTGCTCCAGAATGGCTTTACATCTCCAGTCCTGAGGGGGAATGCCATTCATCAACAAGGAACACCTAGTCAGTGTGGAATCTTGATTAACAACCCCCCTCCACATGGCCAGTTCACACCTAACTTCGTGTGCTTCGGATGTTCCACAGATTTCCTTTGAAGCGCCTGGCGCAGGTGATGCAGCGGTGGAGGAGAGAGGGAGACCCCGGAGAAGTTGCGAGGCGGAGCCATGGCACGTGCGTTGCGCGTTCTGAAGACCCGTGGTCTCTTTCGTGCGCGGGGGGCTCGCGTGGCTCACATGGAAGCTGACAAGTCTGGAAGTTGGCAACTGCTACGGGTGCCAATGGTGCGAGGGTCAAGAAACTCAAGAAGCTGTGAAAGTTGTGTAAACGACTTGCTGACAGAGACCGACCCATATCGAAGTCTGAGCTGCAAAGGAGCTGCCAAGGCAGAACTCATCCAAACCCTATGTTCAAAGCACCAGGCTCAGTTCTTTGAAGTCAGCCACTTCTGGATCACTTCTGAAGTCAGCTCACAAAAAAAAAGCTTCAGCTGGATCAGTCGGTTCAGTAATTATGTCGTTCCTTTTTGACGCTATACGTATCGGGCGTCGTCCGTCTTCGGCGCCGCACTTCAGGCGCCAACGACGTTCACCCCCCGGGTCCTTCCTGTTCGGCCAAGCCAGCGACCGAAGCGAACACAGCGGTGTGAACGCAAACGGAGTTGCAGCGGTGTGAAAGCTCATTTGGGGATAGATCCCCGTGTTTGGCAACAAGTCTGCCAAGTCCACACGAGACCTTGAGACCTGAAACTCTCCAGTCCTTCAGCCTTTTCGCTTCTTAGGCTTGGATTCCTGCGCGATCGAGTCAATACAAATCATTTTCACTGGTCTAAATAGATTACAGTAAGCTGTAGTTCGCATCTTGATACTCCTCCAAAGTTCCTTGTTCAAAGTTGATAGGAATCCCCGCTTGCAAGATCCACATCATTTCCGGACCAAAGAACTCATGCACTCTGCCTCCCTCAGCCAGCCGCAGCCGGGTCCTTCTCAGCCGGCGCCTTTTCTGCCGGCCGCTTTTTGGCGGGCTCTGGGGCAGCCTGCGATCCAGAAAGATTTGCGTGTGCATTCTTTCCAAAATCTTCTCAAATTCATAGACATAGCAGGGAAAAGTTTCAGAAGATGCTCATTGAAGATCGCGAATCTGAAAAGCTGGCTTCCAAAGACATGCTTCTTTGATCTTATTGTTTGGCTATTTTAAAGAGGCCAATGATTCCAAAAACACTCGTTTGCCAACCTCCGGCGGGCTTGCCGCGACCACTTCGGGACTTGGCTCAGCATCTGATGGCTTTGGTGCTGGACCAGCAACCTCCGCACTGAGACGAGAAGACCCTTTCCACGCGAAATCACAACGAATACCAGACATTCCTCCAAAGGCTTCGATGTTCCACACTCTACACCTGTGACAGTAGTTAGTTAGATATGATATAGTTATATAGTTACATATATATACAGTATATGTATGATTATGGTATGTATGTATAGTAGCTGCTTATTTGTCCATCCAACAATCCATGAGAAGCTCCGAGTTCGTCGCGCTTCCTCTGACCCGTCGAAGGAACCCATGGCAAATCGCCGCCGAACGCTCGCTTTTCGCTCCGGGCATGGCCTGGTCATCCACATCGACGAAGTTCTTGGGCCTCTCTGGCACCGTGGAGACCTCGAAAGACACATGGAGTCGGCATGTTTCTCGTGCACGAGACATCACGAGACCGAAGTACGTGGTGAGGTATCTAATGGTTTTTGGAGTCACAGCATGAGGTTCTCCGAATCCAATGGATCAGGGTGGACCTACTTTCTCCTGAAGCAGGAGCTTCGAGGTCCCCCCAAACTTCATGTCAAAAAAGATAGACAAGCGGGTCTTGGAGGTTCTTCCTACCCGCTGTAAACCCGCGCCTCAATCTCTCGGGCCCTCTGTTATACCGGCGCCAACCAAACAGAGACAGCAGGGCAAGAGACGGTCGGACCCACGGTCCGGTCGGACCCGGAGCCTCCGTCTTCTTCCAGAGGGGCCTCAGGGTGCCATCGCCAAACTTCCTCACCTCCATGAACCTTGGCGCCAGACCACACGCAAGCGCGCGCAAAAAAAGATGTTTCGGCGCGACGGGCGCCACATCGCGCATAGACCGAGAAACCATGGGCCCGGGGTGGTCCTGGTCAAACCGGGGGGGATGAGAAGCTAAGTATACTCAAGTCAGTGTATAGCAACGAGGGATGACGTTTGGTGTGTATATATATATATATATATACAGTAAATGCTCTTAGCAATTACACGGATTCGTGTGTGATCTGCAAAAAGATTCTGCTTTCGGGAATCCCACAAGAGTCTTCATTCAGAGTAGCAGTCCCGATCGTGCACAAACCAGCACCATAGTCTTAGAACATGTTGGAACCAGTCTCAGGTAATGAACGTGCTTACAAATCATGATCACCATTAGCATGGAACAATATGGTGATTAACATGCAGAGACACCATGCCACCATACAAGGGTTGTAGTTCACTCCCAATTTCCAGCACACCCCCTGCATTGCAGCCTGGCATTTGCTGCAACCCAATCGGCGGTACGCGTTTCCATACTTTTCGATTGGAGTCGAAGCGGATGACAACCATCTGCTGTCTCTCCTGACAAACAAGAAGACGACTCAGCAATCTCACCGTGCTGCGCAGTTACCAGACAATCCATGAGTGAACGGTCTCCAAAACACGGCTGCCCCGGCAGAGACGGGTTTCCCAGTCTCGCTCGGCTCCTCGATCTTTTCAACTGTGACAGTGTGGGCTTGCCCATTACCTCAGGCAAGGTTGGCCAACTGAGAGCTTTAAGTGTCAAGGTCAGCTTCACTTGCAGCTCAGCAGCTTTTGGATATGTACACTAGACCTGAAGCTGACTCCAATTCAAGCACGTAAAAGCTCTGGCAGCGGGCGTGCTCGCTAAGTTTCAACCAATGCAGATAAGGAACTTGTCCCTTTCTCACACCAGTCTGGCAAAACAATTGGAATCGCACTCCTCAGCAGGCGCTCCACGCACTCTTCACGTCTGTGAGACATGGTTTCCCCATGTTTCCCCTAGCAATAGCTGGCTGACCGTCAGTTCTCTGGTGTCTTCACATGCCCAAGTTCATGCTTTTGGTGTGGTAAAAGTTGATGCTCAAGGCCCAAATCGATTGGCCTTGACGAGGATGAAGGCCTTACCCCTTGGCGGAGCACGCGGTTGATGGCCTGTAGTTGGCACAAAACCACAAAGGAAGAAGCTGAAACAGCGCGCAAAAAACGTGCGGGAAAGTGCTGTGTCATTGAATCATGTGCTGCCTGCATGTCCCAAGGGCTTTCCGACCCCACAACATCAAGATAAACTTTGAACCATGTCTGCGGCGCAGCTGTGCTTGAGAACTCTTGAGAATTGCATATCTCATATCTTTGACAATCTGCATCTATCAAATGCCTTTGCAGAACTCTTCCAGCTCAGCATGTCCAGTGTCATGACACTTTTCTTCCGATCTCTTAGCCAATTCCAGGAATCTTCCGGAAGTCCTGTACTTCTACCGACTGTCAGATCGCCGTCGTGGGGGGCCCCCACGCCCACGACCTCGCGGTCAGAGGAGGTGCTCTTCTCCGACCGAACATCGATTTGCCGAAGCACCGGACCAGCGCAGTCACAACGATTGGAGAAAGACATTGAAACCACAAATGTACGATAAGAATGACATAAGAATGACATGGTTTCACATGCACTTTGAAACCAAACAAGGAAGTGTGTAGACCCAAAAAAAACCTCGATGACATCTTGAAAGTGCTCGTCTGTCTACCTGACAGAGCGCCCTTGAAAAAGAATCGAATTCTCGCCAGTTTCAGACCCCCCTCTCCATCTTCCATCCCAAAAAAGAACACAGCCCGTTCTTGATCCCGAAAGCTCCCAAGTGGCTATCATCCCTGCGCGGTGGAGGGGATCTCCGACGGCTGTCCGATCGCCTGGCGGATGCCACGCGCGGAGTCGGAACCGACGGTGTCTGTCGAAGGGTCCCGGACATCACGGTGTCTGCGTCTAAATCAGAAGCTCCATGCGGATCATGCGGATCATCAGCCTATATTGAACGAATGAAATCAATATACGGAAACCGAACTGAGGGGAATTTCGTGGACAGGGGGGCTGGGGAATCATGCTCGGCCGATTGGAACTGTGCTCACTCTCCGACTTCAAAAAGCTTGACTGAGGACATCGCAGTAACCCACCCACTGCAGGGGATATTGCAGAACAGCACGCCGCAAATGTTTTGGCACAAGCAGCCACTCTGCAGGGTCATCGATTTCACAATGAGCCCCTCAAGAACTAATTCGATCATCTCTGCTCACTGAAGCAGAGCATAGGGATCTCCACTCTTGAGCACTTTAGGCCCAGGTGCTTTCCCTAAGACTTTACGAGGCAGTGTAGTTGGCATCTTCACAAGCAGTTCGTCGACTTCCACCGCCCGTGGCACATTCGCACTTGCCTTCCCCGGAGCTGCCCTTCCAGTCCTGCGCTGGTTGACGACGGCGGACCGCCTCTTCATTTGACCACCCTTAGCCTAGGACCACATTCTCTGGCCGGCCTCTTCTCAAACAGGTCAAGCTTCCATGAAGCCCTCACTTACAGGTGAAACATGGTGAAACTGAATAGCCTTTGTCTCTTGAGTGCGATACGCATGTGGTTGCTGGTAGACTAAGCACCTCGGCACTCTTGCCAGAAATGGGTGTGCCAAACCAGATTCTTCTAGCAACGGCTCTGACCCAAACACAGACCATGGATGAAATAGCCTGTACCCATCTAAACACCGATTCTATGTGGAAAGGATTGCCTAAAAGGTGTATGAATCCAAACCTTGAACCAACTCTTCGCGTACAACATGCCCGCCTCCAACTCTCCATTCGTTTCAGCCAGCCCTTCGGCGGTCACACACGCGGTGCGACATGAGGCCGCGTCAGTCACAGCCTTGGCTGGGACAAGTCCATGACAGAATCATTCGCTATCAGCCTAGTACAGTAGTCTTGTAGAGAAAAGACAACGTGGCATTTGGTGACACCAGGTTAGATGTGCTTTTCAAAAAAAGGGATGCCTCCAAAAGCACAAGTCTTCGAATTCTTGCTACATTCTCCATCCATTCAAGCTTGCAGCACTTAAAGTGCACAACCCGAACCAACATCATGTCCTTGGACGAGGTGCTCCAACGCCATTCCTTGGAGCAGGGAGATAGATGCCAGAAGATACTTCCAGGATGATCTAGGTGCCCTCCAGAATGGTTTCACATCTCGAGTCCCGAGAGGAGTTTCATTCACCAACAGTCAACAGTCTACATAGAGACCCTCAACTAGACAACATGTATTGGAAACCGTGCCACTATCGATTTGGGGACCGCTACATACATTAAGTCGTTCTTTGTGATTTGACGTGACAGAGCTTTGCACACTGAACGAGCTTTAGGGAGTGGAAGAAGTTTTGGAAAGGAGAAGCGCTTCTCCTCAAACCTGCCGACTCGGTGTCTGTGTGCTTTTCGGTCTTCTATGATGATCCGACACGCGAGGAATCCAGAACTTGTGGGGCCATACTAAGAGCAGGCCTGCCAAGGTCTTCGTTTCGCAGACAGTTTCCTTTCCTAAATAGACATGGTTAGCATGCATGGTTGATGTTTGGAGCCGGCTTTCATAAAATTGGTTCGTTCATACATGTGGTAGTCACTTTGTCGTTCCCCACAGTGTGTGTGTGTGAGAGAGAGAGGGTGTGGGTGGCGTATTGCTGTTGTGACTGACAGCCTTAGTCTTGGCCTGTGAATGTGATCCTGACCTCAACATCGCCAAGGCTCTTGCTGAAGGTGGAGCAGTCAGGATGAGTAACTCCACTCACCCCACCTTCATCATCATCACCGCAGCCCTGCAGGGCACCACCCATGAACGCCACAGCACAAACCAAGGCAGCCCAGCGCATCATGATGAGATGACCACGGAATATCGCGGAGAGCAGTTTGAACCAGAAAGAAAGGCTGCATGGTGGACTCAATCATGCAACAATTTCCACCTGTTGCCAACCACATTGCAATTTCAAATGATTAAGACCTGCCCGGTAAAGTGCAATGATCATCAATCATTCTATCTATCCTTTCTTGTCGTGCTGCTGTTGGAGGCGCATCTGTTTCAGTTGGATTTCCAAGATTCTACAATCTACTGTGTCATGAAGGTGGTTAAAATCAAATTAAAAGCGCTTTTGCAAGGTGGATTGAGAAGTTTTGTCAATCTGAACTCACAGCTTCCCACGAGTTCTGAGTTTGGGGACTTGGCGCGCTGCGTTTTGGAGCAAGCAGCCACTGTGTGCGTGTGGGGGTCACCGATTTCACAAGTAGCCCCTCAGGAACGAATTGGATCATCTCTGCTCTAGGCCAAGGACACTGAAGCAAAGCATAGGGATCTCATGGGATCTCCACCCTGTCGGGTTTGTTTCTTTCCGAAGCAAAGGCCCTTGCTGAAAGTGGAGCAATGGGGATGACTGACTCCATCAACACCATCCTCATCGCCCTGCACAAAGCTGCCCACCGCATGAACGGGCGCGAGGCGTCCCGGTGCAAATGGAAGCGTTCAGCGTTCAGCATGTTGGAACTGAGGCACGACTTGGTGCATCCCGACCGGCCGGCGCATGTGTTAGGAAAAAAACACTACAATTCACAAAAAGCTGTGAGAACTAGAGGGTCACGTCCGTTTTTCTCCCCACTTCCCCCGGCCTTCGTTTGGGAGGGCTGCGACTCGGAGACCTGTGCACCAGGCACACCAAGAGAGGGTCCAGTATGGAGGGCACCCCTAGCGACACATTGTTTGACGAAGGATCAACGATCACGGAGGAACATAAAACAAAGCAAACAAAATATCTGGCAAAAAATCAACAAAACATCTGATCTGTCTAAAGGTTTTTTGCTTCACACAAGCAAATCTACAGTCTGACAAGGTTCTTTACTTGCGTTAAGTCCCACAAGGGCTCTTTTGCAGATTTCCCTTCTGCTGGTTCCAGTTCCATCATCAGCGCGCCCGTCTGATTGCACCCCCGACCCTCAATTGCAACACTCACACACACTCGAGATGTTGTGTACTGAAATTGAAAGCCACTTGCCCTGAAGAAGCCTACGTGAAAAACTGCCTAAGTAACCAGCAAGTTGTAAGTGGGTCTAACTACCTCCACGGTGCCACAACTGCTCAAGTGTGAGAGGACTCAACTCAAAGTCATGAAGTCAAGAACTCTCAAGTTCCAGGGCTTCCGAAGGTGCAAAACGACTCCGAAAAGCGACGAGCGAGCGGCAAGCGCACGTCTGCAGACCTGTATCATCCTGCAACAGCCTGAGGACCTCTACGATTGGAGAGTGGTTAGAACATTCACAAACTGCAGGTACCGGAAGGTGATCAGCCTTCCTCTCCCATCCAGGACCGTAGCTTCGTTGCATACGATGGGTCATGGATGCCGTGTGCCCCTGCTGAGTTACACCAAAAGGCGACACACACCACACACATGCTTCAGTCTCCCTTCCCTTCCCTTCCCTTCCCTTCCCTTCCCTTCCTTCCCACGCTTTCCTGCCATTTTCTGTCCTGTCTAACCTTCTGCTGTCCTCAAGTTCATTCTCCTCTTCTTTCTTTCGTCCTGTCCATGCTTCTGTTTCTGGCCTCCGGCCGCGGCTCCGGCTCCTGGGTCGGTCTCGGTCGTCCTGGCAACGGGCGCGGAAAAGAAGGTCGCAGGTTGAGCGTTGCAGTGGAACGTGTCGTGTCTTCTTGGTGTTTTCAAGGCTGCAAGCCTGAAGTGGGTAGTTCTTGGCCCAAACACGAGACCAATCGACATTGTCTGCTATTCAATGCTATTCATATGTACTCCACTCAACTTTCAGGACTATATAGTAATATATATGTATATACCCTGCAGAAAAATGTTGCGGGTGCCGGGTGCCTCGTCTTTTAAAGGCATGACCTGCACTGCTTGCAGGTTGGAGGTGTTTGCATATGGTGTCAACTCACCGTTTGAAAAAGCACTTCAAAATCAACCAGGCTCAGGACCCCCACATTGATGGCCAAACGGCTTTTTCTTTGGCTCAAGGGCTCCTTCAAACAGGGAGCCAGCCCGAAGCTTCGGCATGACATGCGACGCTTCCGCACTCGGTGCTCTCCGGCTTCGGTGAATTCCATTGGTCACGTGTTTGCAAAGATGAGTGACCAACCAACTCAGGGTGAGGCTGGGTTGAACTAGGCTGGTATCTGTGCCCCGCCAAAGGCTGAGCTGGTCCGAAATTGGTGGGAGAAATGAGCAACTCTCGAAGCAGGATGCAAAAAGTTTTCCTTCTGGTTCATGTGAATCTGCAACCACTGTCCTCGATGTCGAACTTAATTCTTTGTTGGTTCCTTGGGAGCGTGTCAATGGGTGATCCACAGAGCTCCGTCTTCGAACTCATCGTCGCATATACTGGCAGTGAGACTCTATAATTTAAAGAAGAAACATCAACAACAAAATACATGTCATCCTCATCCTCATACTCATGCTACCGTACCCGTAGCCTTCCACCGAGCCGCTTGAGACCGAAGAGCTTGGCCGCGCTCCGCAGCTTGGGGTCCTCCAAGAGGTTTTTCTCGTGTCTTTCTGGGGGTTTAGAGGGGCAGTCCTAAAGATGCACTTGCAAAAGATTGGGTCTAAAATTTTCAGGGAACCCACATGGATTCAAGCTTGTTTTAGGTGTTTTTAGGTTTAGGCCACGAGGACCCTGGGTATTTAAGTGAGATAACGTGCAGCTTTGGTGAGTTCACAAATCCCCAATCAATCACAGACCACATTACTGCATTACTTTTCACTTGCATACGTTTGCCTCTCCCAAATACATGTACTGTCCAAATGTAAATCTCGTGTTTAAAGATTTGCAACAACCTTTCTAGCTGCAAGAATGAAAGCCACGTGCCTTGATGCTATCTGCATAGAGGAAGAGGTCACCAGAGCCACCACTGTCACCATCAACCTCCACAAAACCACCGCAATTCTTTCAAAGAGGGACATGCCCACAACGAAAACAGACCGTCAGCAACATGATTACATGGTTGGCCAATGTATAGAGACAGCTATACCCAACCATCCTGGAGTTTCATATTGACTTTCGGATCTTCCCATCTCCATTGTCCATCTTCATTCGAACTCTGATGGCGACTCATCCAAGCGAAGTACGAGTGAAGGCTTCCCAATAGATACACAATCGAATCCCCAGCACAATCTCTTGGATCTGAAATTTGAGAGAAACCTCCCGCAGCGGAAGAAACTCCCGCAACTGATGTGCGCAACTTATGAGTCTCCGGGAGATGGGCAAAGTTTTGTCAATGCACAGAATATCGGAAATGTTCAACGACCACGCAGAGGTTTTGATCCGCAGCCAATCAAGGCCGGAATCAAAGAAATGTTCTCCACTCTAGGGCACAACTTCCTTTGAAGCCACATGACTCCAACCAACAAGATGCCATGTTCGATCCGAGAATTCCCCAAAGGGAATATGTGGGGAATGCCTGGGCCCGGAGTCAGCTTGGGTTGTCTTATCATTATGTTTGATAAGGATTATACCGGCAGACTGGAAGATAGAATGCCTCTTTTTGTTCAAGATTTATCCATAGTAAGATAGAATGCCGTCCCCAAATGTTTTTTGGCCAACAGAAATGGACAGTTAGAATGCTGGGGTCTGGCCAGTTAGAATGCTGATCCAGGGTGTGCATGTTGAAAAATCTCGAAACTGCAAGGAAACACCAGGATTTCTTCGAAGATAGAATGCCGCCAAAGATAGCAAGAAAACACTTTGAATGCCACAGCTTTTACAGAATAGACAAACAAAAGGAAAGGACAAAGAAGAGGAAAAAGGAACAGGAAACAATTGGTAAAGAACAAGACATGGAAGCAGAAAGGAAACAAAAACACAGGAGAGGAAGCAGAAGAGGAAAGGGAAAGGAACAGGACACGGAAAAAGATAAAGGCACAAGGAATAGGAAAGGAAAGGCACAGAAAATGAGAGGACAAGGAAGAGGAACAAGGAAAAGGAAACAATGGCTAAGACCGGGACATGGCAGCAGAAAACAGAAGGAAGGAGAAAGGAACCAGACAAGGAAAAGAGGACAGGACACAGAATAAAGTGGAAAGGAAAAATTACAATGAGACAGGAAAAGAAAAGATGCAACACGAAAAGAAAAGAGTTCTGAATAGGAAAGGCAAAATGCGCAACAATGAAAAGGATCGGATGCTCTTAGGAGGAACAGGAAGCAAATAAAGGCAAAAGAAAGGAAAGAGGCAAGAGGAATGGAAAAAGGAAGAGGGAAGGCACACGGAACAATGAAAAGGATAGAATGTCCAATTGTCATGCAATTGCTTCTCCTCCCTCCCTTCCTTGTTGGAATTTTGGGGATCAAGACTGGCATTCTAACTGTCAGTCTGTGAGTGTGTTTGTCCATGCTAGATTTGCCAAACAGTAACAGCATATGTGCTCAGCCTTTGCATGCTGCAAACTGCAAACCTCCAGAATAGACAAACAAAAGTAAAGGACAAGAAAGAGGATCAAAGAACATGAAGACATGGTATAAAAATGCAAAAAAGAGAAAGGAAACAGAAAAAGGAGAAAAGGAAAGAACACAGGAAAAAGGGAATGACGAGAAAAGGGAACAGTTGAACAGGAGACAAACAAAGAATAGGAACGGAAAAGAGCAATGAAACAGGAAAAAGGCAAGAGGCGAAAGGAAAGGACAAGGAAGAGGAAGAGGAAAGGTAAATGTAACAATGAAAATAATAAGATGCTTCATTGTCCTGCCATGTGTGGGATCAAGACCAACATTCTAACTGTCAGTCTGTGAGTTGGAGGGTGTATGCATGCATAGATTTGGAAACAGCAAATGTGCCCAGCTTTTGCGATGCAAAACCTACAGGATAGACAAACAAAAGGAAAGGACAAGGAAGAGGAAACAGGAACAGGAACAAAGGTAGAAAAAGGTAAAAGGAAAGCACAAGGACGAGGAACAAGGAAAAAGGCAAAATTGCTGAGAATGGGACGTGGCAGCAGAACGGAGAAGGAGGGGGAAAGGAACAGAAAAGGGAACAGTTGAACAGGAAACAAACAGAGGAAAGGCGCGTGGAAAAATGAAAAGGATAGAATGTCTTAATTTTCCTGTCATTGTTTCTCCTCCCTCCTTCCTTGTTGCAATTTTTGGGATCAAGACAGGCATTCTACCTGTCAGTCTGTGAGTGTGTGTATGTATGCAGACAACATACGTGCCCAGCCTTTGCACACTGCAAGCTGCAAACCTACAGAGTAGACAAGCAAAAGGACAGGACAAGGAGGAGGAAAAAGGAAGAGGAAACAACTGCAGAAAAAGGACATGGAAAGCACAAGGAAGAGGAACAGGAAAAGGACAAAATTGCTAAGAATGGGACATGGCAGCAGAAAGGAGAAGGAGGAGGAAAGGAAACAGAAGAGGTAAAAAGGAACGGACACAAAACAAAGGAGAAAGGAACAAAAAAAGGAACAGGAAAACAAACAACCACAAACATATGAAATGTCAAGAACAATGAGACAGGAAAAGGCAAGAGGCAAAAGGAAGGGAAAGAGGCAAGAGGAAAGGAACAGGGAAGAGGAAAGGCACATGGAACAATGAAAAGAATAGAATGTCCAAGTATCCTGCCATTGTTTCTCCTCCCCCTTCCTTGCTGCAATTCGTGGGAACAAGACAGGCATTCTAACTGTCAGTCTGTGAGTGTATGTATATGCATGCATAGATTTGAAAACAACATATGTGCCCAGCCTTTGCATGCTGCATACTGCAAACATACAGAATAGAGAAACAGAAGGACATGACAAGGAAGACGAAAAAGGAACAGGAAACAATGGTAGAAAAAGGCGAAAGGAAAGGATAAAGGAAGAGGGACAAAATTGCTGAGAACGGGACATGGTAGCAGAAAGGAGAAGGAATGGGAAAGGAAACAGTTAAGGAAACGAGGAAAGGAAACAGAAGAAAAGCGAAAGGCACAGAAAAGGGAACAGTTGAACAAGAAACAAACAAAAGCAAGAGAATAGGCGGCTGGATCAGGGCAGGAAATGGCATTTACACGCATAAATCCAGTACAAAGGACAGTGTTCAACAAACTTTGCTATCACTGGTTTATCTGTTTTAGGCCATATCAAAGACCCAAGTTCAAAAACCCTGTAAAAATGCAGGTTTCAGTTAGAATGCCCGCAAAACGCCATCCCCTATGAAAAGTTCAAAAATTGTCCATCCCCGGCGGTCCAGCATAGCATTCTGACTTCCGGTCCGTCGGTATATATTGGTCAAGTATATAGTGATCCCCAAAAAGATAGAAACGGCTTCCAACACAGTTTTAATAATGGGGATCTACGTATTAATCTATTTGGAGCTCTATATAATATATATATATATATAATTATACATACAGGTCTTCTTCTGGCTCAAGGCCGTTTTCAGCATCAAGCTCAGTGGCTATCAGCCACTTGAGCCAACATCAACGTCACGGACACCATAAGACAAAGGAGCACAAGGGCCTGTCCGAAGACGGTGAGGTGATCCAATGAGGAGACACTACCGAGTCTGCTCCAAATGTCAGCAGAGCTGGGTGTGGGAGGACCGCATCCAGGCCAACCCCAAGCTCCAATGCAATCAGTGCGGAGCCCATTGGCAGAAGACTTTGTTGCCTGATTTAAGGCAAAAGAGGCAAGTAGCTTGGGCACAATAAAACTTCAATGGACAAGGTCAACAGTGGCCAAAGAAGTCCTACAAGGACGCCCTCTTGGAACCCCCGCCGGGACTCTCAGGCGGGCAGAGGAAAAGGAAGACAAAAAAGAACAAGACTGATGACATGCACAAGGCCTTGAAGGAACACTGGGATAGCCTACCAGAGGCTTTCAGGAACCAGTGCACCGCCTTAGGTGTGCAGGTGGCTGACCCTCCAGTGGCACCGGATCTGCCTTCACTCATCAAAGAGCATCTACAAAGCCTTCCAGCCGACCTCAAAGAGGCTGTTGTGAAGATTGTGGAGCCGGAGAAGCCGGAGCCGACATTGGCTTCGAAGGTCAAGCAAGCAGTTGGCACTTTGAAGCAGCTTTCAGAGAAGAAGGCATCCCTCCAATCAAAAGCGGATGCGGTAAAGCAGCAGTACACCCAATTGCTGCAGGACCTCAAAGAGCTGCAAGGGAAGATTGAAGTTGCGCAAAAAGAGCTGCAAACTACGACCCAACAATACAACCAGCAGCTGGAGCAAGAGAAACAAGCTGATGCTGACGAAACGGCCGAAGAACTATCTCCTGAGGCGCTGATCACTGCAATGGCCAGTGTAGGACTGCAGGCCACCTCGGCCCAGGTCAAGGACTTAGCGTCCAAGCTCATTGAGAGCGCCGCAAAAAGGAGAAAGTGTGGGTAACCCTGAAACAGACAGGGTGAGCATGGGGTTCTCCACAACCTTTTTGAAGGACTTCCACGTGGGGTGCTGTGAAGTTTTTGAGACTGGTTGTGAGGCTTTTGGCTCAGGCCAGGAAGGGGGCGAAGACTCCGTGCCTGAGATGGGGACGCCTGAGGTTTTTGCCTCAGGAGAAGAGCCAGAACGTCTCCATGCTCGACAGTGAGGGAGAAGACCAAGTTCATGAAGAAGTCCAAGGACCACTGAGTCCGCTGGACTACGTGGTTCAGAATCTGCAGTGTCGCCTGGGAAATCCTCGAAACAGGTGTTTTGCAAATTCTGCTTTCCGTCTTTGGGCCTGGGCGGGAAGTTTCATGGAGGGCCCACGTCTATGGAGCAGAACGGCTTCAGCGGTGAAAGAAGCACTGCTCAGTGATGATGTGGTGCAGTTGACAACACTCGCTGGGTTGCAACCTCTTTGGACAAAATTCGATGACTCACAACAAAATGATGCTTCGCATTTCTTGCAAGAGTTGGTTGATTTGGCGGAATCCTCTTTGGTCATTCAGAGCTACCACCAAGTCGACT